AGTGTAAGAGGGTCCCCTTTCTCCACAGCCTCTCCAGCATTTGTCATTTGTGGACTTTTGAATGATGGCCATTCTGACTGGTGTGAGGTGATATCTCAGTGTAGTTCTGATCGCACTTCTCTGATGATAAGCGATACTGAGCATTTCCCATGGGCCTCTTGGCCGTCTGTGTGTCTGCACTGGGGACTTGCTTGCTTAGGACTCCTGCCCATTTTTGGATTGGGTTGTTTATCTTTTTGTTACTGAGTTGTGACAGGACCTTCCTCTGGCTGGTGGTGAGGTCACAGTGTGATGTCCTGGGAAACTCAGTCATCAGCCTTCTGCTTCCAGCCAGTCTGGCCTCTGCCTGCCGTGGTCAGCATGTTGTCACTGAGAAGGAACCGCTCCCGACTCCCTTTCTTCCCCTTCCTCCTCTTCTGGGCTTCCTCCTCGGGCAACGTGAGTCTTTAGACGTCAGTTTGAAAGTGGGAAAGATGCTGCTTTAATGCTGAGAATCAGCACTCCCTCCCTGGGCCACAGCCACACATTTGGGGAGCCCTCACCATGGGCAGCAGACGGCCCACTGCCACCCACAGGAGAGACTCAGGACAGGAAACCCCTACACAGACCAGCAGGGAGTCTCCCCACTATTTCTTCAGATCGCAACCCCTCCCCCCGAAGCCCTCACACCCTGCAGCAGGGGCACCCAACAATCCCCTTCAGGACACCTGGGGCTTTTTTTTAACATAGCTCTGTGCCATTAATCTTACCTTATAAAGTTGATACCAGCCAATACACGTGACATTTCCCTGGTGGTCTCCAGAATGCCTTTCCAGTGGCTCCTCCAGGTCAAGTTCAAAAGAGGACCAGCCCTGGTGGTCCGAGGCTTGTCAGCCCCTCTTGTCTGAGGCACCCCCACTCCCGTCCACTAAGGTTACTCATCGGCTGAAGGGACCAGGTCCTCTGTCCCGTGAGATGTCCCTCACTCTGACTTGGCTGCCTCTCCTTTAAAATGATGGAGGCCAAGGCTCGACTGGCGGCAGGGTCAGCCACACAGGGCTGCGGGTGGCCTGCTGCACCACGTCAAGGCCCCAATGTCCCCGAGGCACACTGTCGGTGGGTTGAGAGGGGCCCCTGCCCCCACTGTAAAGACCTCGTCAGCCCCTGGGGTCTAACACCTGCTGATGGCTGTTATCTAGAGCCATGAGGGGTTTCAAACGGGGTTTTCCTTCTTTTTTTATAAGCAACAGAAATTATTGCTCACAGTTCTAGAGGCTGGACGCCCGAGATCATGGTACCCACACGATCGTGCTCTGCTGAGCGTCCCCTCCAGCCGCAGATGGCTGGCCCTGGCTGCCCCCACCGCTGGACAGAGAGCCACCCTGCTCTGCTCTCTCCTTATAAGGGCACTGCCCCACAAAAGGCAACTTTCTACTCTTATCATCTAGTCTGAATTTATTCTAGAATCTGCTCCTTAGAAAAACTCCCTCAACGGCTCATTTTCCCTGAAGTGCATTTCATACGGGAAGAGCCGCGTAACGTTTAATTCTTTCTGTATTGTTCTTAAGGCTAACGGAGGGTGCTCTAGCAGGCTCCAAGGGAGACAGTGAGGTTTACAAGTCATGACAATTACGAACCGAAGACCTACACGAGTGTGTGTGCCAACCTGCCTCGGCCACCTCCTCAGCCCCCCGTCCTGCCCACGCCATGGGCGTCCCACTAGGTGGGTCCGCGCTCTGCGACACGACCCCTGCCCCCAACGCCCCCTCGCTGTCTGGCACAGCCATGTCCAGGCCCACCCGACACATGTGGACCCATGATGACCCCCGTGTCTAGAGACCACGTCTGGGTCCTCACTGCTGCTCCGAAGCCTTTTCAACAAAGACGAGAAGCGTGTGAGTTCCAGGGGGGCGCGGAGCCGCGGCTCCCAGGAGGCGGGCCTGCTTCGGTCCGAAACCGCAGAGCCCTGCTTGGCCTGGTCAGACCTCACCTGTGTTTCCTTCCCTGGGCTCCAAGTTGAGAGCTCAGTCCTAGGGGCCCGGGCTGATTCGGGGGCCGAGCAATGAGCAAGTGGAGTGACCGTCCTCACTCTTACGGCGGCGAGGCCCGGTGCGGGGGTAGCGCCCCGGGACCCGCGGGGCTGGAGCGGCCACGCTGGCCAGCAGGCCATGCGTGAAGGAGGAGCTGTTCTATACCCGTTCAGACCCAGAGCCGCTCTCAGGGGCGGAAAAACCGGGGAAACAGTTGAAGCACCAGACGGAAAGGTTTCAAACAGAACCTGTTAGGGGAGTCACTCACGTCGTCCAACGCGTGGGCCACTGCTCCAGACACAGGGCTGCGGGGACAAAAAGACATTCAAACTGCGCGTCCCGGCAGCCTTGCTGCCCGCATCCACTCCCTCCCCGTCCCCTGACACCGTCTCCCACTTCTCTGTTTTCCACCCCTTTCTTATCTTCCTCTCCCCTCTCCCTGTTACTTTCTCTTGAGACTTTCTCTTTCTCTCCCTCTGGTGTTTTCTATCCCCCAGCGTGTCGTGTGGGAGGGGTGCAGACGTCCTAGTCCCTCCTGCAGGCACAGCCTGGGTCAGAGTCTTGGGGGCGAGAGATGCAGAAGGGAAGTTTTACCATGGACCTGGGCCTCTGAAGGCAGCCGTGAGTCCAGAAAGAGGCAACAGGTTTCCAAACTAAAATCAAATAATGTAAATGATATGAGGGCATATAAATAGTTCATGAAGCCTCACGTGCACTTGTGAGAGGCTGAACAGCCCCGAGCAGCGCACCGTCCGTCGTGTCCCGTGAACTGCCCAGCTCCGCGCCTGAAGTGCGGCCACTGCAACTGGGGAGGCCACGCTTCTAATTTTGTTTAACTTTTATTCATTTAAAGCCATGTAACCACACGTGGCGGGAAGCTGCCTTATCAGGCAGCACACAAGGAGTTGTTTTTCTTTAATTTTTTACTGAAGTGTAGTTGGTGCACAATGTCAGTTTCAGGTGTACAGCACAGCCATTCCTTTGTACATGTATGTAACTTTTTCAGATTCTTTTCCATTACAGCTCATCGTAAGAAACTGAATATGGTTCCCTGTGCTGCGCAGGAGGCGGCTGTTCATCTGCTTCGTGCAGGGCCGTGGGTGGCTGTTAACCCCCAACTCCTACCCCCGCCCCTCCCCCGCTGGTAGCCACAGTCCGTGCTGTGTGTCTGTGAGTCTGGTTTTGGCTGGCAAATCAGAAGCAGATAAATAGTGTGACAAGGCAGCCTGTGAATACCACACTCACAAGAACATCACACCTCTGCCCCGCTGACCGTGGGCTCCCCTGCACCCGGCTGTCAGGGCTGGTCAACGGGGCACGCTCGGCACTCAGGCAGCAAAAAGAAAGTCTTGGAGGAAGAAGTTCCCAATCGCTTTCTGTTGGCTACAAAGGTTTGTTTCACACCAGGCTGACCAAGGGCTTCCTAGAGACCTTCCAAAGGCAAGTGTTAACTGTACTGCAGGAAGGTGGGCGAGACGCGGGCGAGGCCCTGAAGAGGAGGGGGTGTGGGCAGGATGTGGGGAGGCCCTGGGATAAGCGTCAAGCCCCACGAGCAGAACTATGGGGGCAGGCGTGGACCCCCAGGGGCCCGCCTTGGGGACGCGGAGCATGGAGCCGGCGGGGGCCCAGGATCCGGAGCTGCTGGCGGGCGGTGGACTGCAGACTGCTGTGGGGGGGTTGCTTCACTGGGGAAAGAAGTGTGATTTTTCAAGTAAACGGATTTCAGATAGTTGTGTGTTCTTCGTCAACACCATCAAAGCTTCCTCTAAGTCAGAAGTACCAGCCGAATCCTTAATAGTCCCCTCCGGGCAGCTGGGAGGGTCTGGAGCAAACCAAGAAAAATGCTCCCCGTCCAGGGAAAGGGCCGCCAAGAGCCTGGCCCTGCCAACCCCAGAAAGGAGCCTGACCCCCAGGCAGCAGACCCCGCATGGCACCCCTTTCTTGCTCCGACGTTTTAGCCACACTGTAGCCACGTTCCAGAGCGTCTGCTACCTACCCCACTTGTCATGACCAAGGCGGCTGCACCAGGGAGAGCGGCCCCGCCCGGATGAGAACAGGCTGCTCTGGGACCAGGGCTAGGAAAACGGGAGGGGTGGAGAGTTGCTGCCAATTCCGTATTTTTTTCCTTAAAAGACACACACACACACACACACACACACACAGTGCAAAAGCAAATTACCTGTTCTGGGAACCTGGACCACGGAACTCGTCATCAAAGGGCAGCACAGGGCGGAGCCGGCAGTGCACGCGGATGCTGCCTCTCAGCTCCTACGATGGTGAGACGTTGTCCCCTGAGCACACGGGCCCGCAGACCCGACCTGTGAGGGCAAACCCGAGCAGCGCCTCCCCCGAGGTGTGACCGCCGCGCTTCCTGCCACACCTCCACTTGTGGAAAACTCCCTACGCACTAGCGTCAGTATCCTGTTAAGCTTTTTAAAAATTCACCCTTAAATGTGTTCACATGGCAAATAGTATCACTCGACCATAAGCACCAAGACAACAGCTTTTAACAGCACCCGAGGCTCCGTCTCCCGGGCGTTTCAGAAGGTCTCTGAAATCTGGTGCCAGGGCTCATCATCCAGTCCTTCCAGAGGGCCCGTATGAGCGGCGGCGAATGGGACGTGATGCTGTGGGGGTGGAGACAAAGATTAGGAACCGCCAGACCCGCTACATGGCACCGGGATGGCACCTCGCCCGGCCTGCACGGAGGGAGGGGCCTGACAGGGCGAGGGCTCACACTGCTTAGGAATACACATCAAAGTCACGTCCACGTAAGTAATGGTTACGTTGCCGCCCGGCGGTGCTCGGACGCCTGTAATGACGAGGAGGTCACCACCTCCCGACTGAGACTTGAGTCAGGGCTACACAGCTCCCCCGGGACCGTGCAGACCGCTTCCACCTTTTATCACTTCAGGGCCACACTGAAGAATTCTGTTCCTCTTCCGCAGGCCAGCTTGTCGGCCACTCCGCCCCGGCGTCCTCTGGAAACCAGCCTGTCCACGCATGCCCCCCGGCCCTCGCTGTCAGGGTGTGTCCTCCTTGGTCCTGAAATGGCCAAAATCGACCCGGCCTGTTTTATCCTCCCTGAAGGGCTATGTCCGGAATGAGAGGCACATCCCTGGATGTGGGTGACAGCATGGCACAGAATGAGGCCACCTGCTTCTCTGACCTTCAGATCTTCTTCTGTCAGTGCAGCTGGACCAACCACTGGCTTCCTTGGCAGCCACTGACACACGTGACTGGGCCTGCTGGGGCTCCACAGAAAACGCTACATCCCTGGTGCCCAGGGGACCCGCCCAACAGAGCATTGGCTCCTCCCAGCCCCTCGGACTACGGAAACGTCTCCGGGAAAGCACGACAGACACCAGCGCGGATCAAACTGTCAGAGGTCCAAGCCCAAGCCAGAGCGCAGAGTTCTGTGGGAGGAGACCTGGCCTGCGGCGGGGAGACTGCACCGAGTCCCAGGACAGAAGAGGGGCTTGCGTCACAGAAGAGGGTGGGACGAGGCCAGAGAAACTGGGAGGAAGTGGGGGGAGGGGAGACGTCCGGTGACCTGGAGTGACCAGCAGACCTCACAGGGAGGGGTGGCCGTCTTCACGTTGTCTGTACCTGGGCCACCAGACACGGGTCAGGGAAGTCTGGAGGGTGGGGGCCACGACCCCAAGCCAAGCTGGTCACCTGAGCTTCTGAGCACCAAGGCTGGCACCAGGGTCCACGAGAAGTAATGGTGACAACGCAGACGATGGTGATGTCAGCTCCAACACCCTAGGCTGTTTCCACCTAAACACTGACTTCTGCCCACTGGGGACCATGGCTGCCGGCAGTGACTGTCACCTTCCGCACCTTCCCAGACACCTGTGCACCTGGCGCTCTGTGCACAAGGCAGGTTGAGCCTGCCACTCCAGCCTGCGCAAGTATTCTGGGACACTCTTTGCTATTCAAGGTGTTTGCTCTCAATTCCTTCCAAACGTGTACCCGTAAGTAAAACAAACATGCCTTCTTACTTCTGTTAAGTCACTCGTAGTTAAGACCCAAAGAGGCAGGAGCAGGGCCCAGAGGACGTCCCCGGGAGCCTCACCCCGTTGTCACCCATGCATGGACCGTGGGCCTGGTGGACGGGGCTCCTTGCGGGAAGGGATGCGACACCTCGGGTACCCCGTCTCCACTGACGCGTGCTCCACTGCTGAGGGCTGCCCTCAGCTCTTATGCTGATGCTCTGTCCATAAATATCTCCCGGGAGGCTCTTTCTGAGGCTGAACGAGGACCAGACACGCCGCATCTCCAATGTCTGTTTCATTTAATACCAGAAGAGGAGACAAGAGCATTTTTATTCTCAGAGCCCCTGCTGTTTCCAGTGAGCACCCCCCTCAGAGGCCCCGCTGAAGTCTCCCCCTTGGCTCCCGGCAAGGTTACCCCATGAGTCTGGGAGCGCGGCCCCTCCTACTGTTTGAAAACTGGGTAAATGGTCTACACTGACCTATTCACGGGCCTATACAGCTTCTCCAGCCTCGGGTCCCACAGGAGTGAGGGGGCGGGGTCGGCAGTCTCGTCTGCAGGTTTTCCAAGGGCCACGGAGCTCAGAGCACGAGGCGCACTGTCATTTGGGGCAGGGAGTCTCCCCCGGGCCATCAGTCCACTTTGGACCTGGCTCCGTCTTGGGAAGCCCTGCTGGTGAAAGCTGCAGCCCCTCAGCACTCTGGGCCCCTCCTGCCTCGCCTGGTCTGGACACAGATCGGGGGCAGTGCTGCCATGATGAGCAGGTAAGGCCACGCTGCGAGAGGCCAGTGCACAGCCGGCGCTCAGCCACGTCATCACTGTCAGAGGGCTGGGCCACAGGAGCACAGGAGCCACGAATGAGGACCCGGGGACGGTCAGCATGGGGACGGGAGGGACTCTGAGAAAGCAGGCTTCTCGGGCTTCAGAAAAACGGAACGTGGAGACACCGGCCAAGGTCCTCCCTTTTCACCGTGGGTAACAGTTCAACCCCATGGAAGCAAACTCGTCAACTGAATCTTCATCCCCAGCAGCCTCGGGCTGGCAAGTGGGAACCAGAGTCTCAACTTTAAACGTCACAGGGTCTCAGATCTCACTCCTTTAAGTCAGCAGGTGAGGGTGTAGCCCAGAGGAGGAGCGCGTGCTTGGTGTGCATCAGGTCCTGGGTTCGATCCCCGGGACCTCCGTTAAGTGGAAAAAATGGCTCAAAAAAAAGTCAGCAAGTGAAAAAAAGAGAAGCAGCTGATGAGAGCTGGCAAGGAGGGGCTGCAGCCTCCTACCACCGGCGTCTCAGGGGCACCTCAAGCTCCGAACAGCTCCTGGACCCCCCGCTCTGGCCTCTCCCTCTCTGCCGGTCTCCCCTTCACCGCCTGCTGCTCACCCTCACACCCCCGGCCCAGCACGTCCGGTCAGGGGGTCCCACAGGCGCGGCTCTGGTCACCTCTGCCCCTGTGCACACCAGCCTGGCCCGGGCCACCGCCCCTCTCCAGCTCACACGAGGCCTCCCGCCCTGATGTGCGGTCCCCGGCCGTTCCCTGCTGCTTCCTCTGAACCATGGGGTAGACAGGGTCTCTGGGGACGAGGGGCACCTACCACCAGAGTGTTGTGCAGCCGCCTGCGCTCACGCCTCTCCTGCTGGTATCGCTCGGTCATCTCCTGCAGGGACCGCTCCAGACACCCTGCCTCCAATGGCCCCGCGGCTGAAAGAGCCAGTCCACCCACAGTTGGAGCAGCTTCCCCGACATGGGTCCCCAGGCCACGGCCACTCCTTCCTGCCCCCAGCACTGGGAACATGGGCCCTGGGCACTTGGGTCACTCAAAACAAAGTATCTGTCAGCCTCCTAGAAAGACATGTGTCTCAGGGTCGTGGCAGAAAGGACGTCCACTACGTTCCCGACTTCACAGCCCGCTTGGTGTGCAGACGAGGGGAGGACCAGGGGAGGAAGGGGGATCTAGGGGGCTGTCAGGTGGGGAGTCACCCCTGTGGGTTCCAAGGACCAGAGCTTAAGGTGATCAACGATCCCCCAAGTAGAGGAGGAGGCTGTGAAATGAAGGGAGAGCTCCAGACTTCAGGAAAACCTGACACGGGCTCAGCTTGGAGACAGGGTCAAGGTCAAGAAGGTATAGTGAGGTCAGCAGAGCAAAGGAGCACCTCCCTCGGGGCGGCAGCGCCGGAGAGTGGAGGCGCTGGGCCATCTGGGACCTGCTTCTGCCCTCGGGGTCAAAGGAGATGGACTCTGAAACCAGACCGGCTCTTTGTCGGTCAGGGCCACCGTCTTACGTGGCAGGGCCTCGTGGCAGAGTGGAGCCCTCTGGACGGCCGTCACTATTTCAGAAAGACAGTCCCGCTGAGCATCCTGGTACCTCCGGAAAAGGCCCAGAGACCAGGAGTGAAGCACCTCCACATCTCGTTTCAGTCTCTGCAAAATAGGAGCAGACACAAGTGATATGATGACTGTCACCACTGGTCATCACGGCGCGACCACACGAGCGCTACGGTAACGCAGGAGCTCGATCTGTCCTTAACCAGAGGCTCTGGCCGCTGTCGCGGGCGGAGTGCTTCCACGGTGCTCCTGCCCGGGCTCCCTTCCCGACGTTCTGATCCAACAGACCAGGGGCCTGCTCTTCCCAAAGCAGCATGTGTGACTGTATGTTTTACACATCGGACGTATTTCAGAAAATCGAGCCCCCCGCCTGCTCCTCCAAGCGAGGACAGCTCGCCCGCTGCAGGTGGAGAAGCACTCCCCGTGGACGTTTCTCCGTGGGCTGTTTACTTCCCTGTGACTCTGGCACCATCCCACGGTCTCTGCGTCACCCGCCTGCCTTTCACGGGAACGAAAGCTCTGATGAGCTCTCCAGACCATCCCCTGGAAGCCGTGCTATCCGGAGCCAGGGTGCGAACAATGCAGGGCGGGGTATAAACGTGCAGAATGGAATTCCAGGTCCACAAACACAACAGCGTTCAGAGAACTTTGGGAACAATGCAACTGATAAGTCGTATCTTACACGTAAGGCCCCATTTTTACTTCCTGAAATTACTTGCAGGTTTTTTGGCTTGAAGACACGTCCACAGAACGAAAGAACGCAGGTGCTACTGTTTAACGCCGCTATCAAATGCTCAAGTCACAAAACTTAACTGGACTCAAACAGATGTTCTTTGTCTCTTTAGTTAAGTCTTTTTTGCTATAAAATGGAGATAATTTCATTTGTTCGGGGAACATTTTGATAAAACATCAAAACTACATTGAATTTTAAAGTATTTTTTATTATATGACATGCAGATAAAGTTATATACTTTATTCAACGATGGACTGACTTCACTCAGTTGGAAGAGAATAAAAAATTAATTCCATATAAACCCATTCTAAATACACTTACGCAGTTCATGGCTGGGGGGCACACAAACAAACTGCTCCTAAGGGCCAGCTAATCTTGTCTGCAGATGGAGGTGTCATTGTTGTAATGATGACCTTTTTCCTTCTACATTGTTTGCAACAGAAGGTGAACAAAGCTCTTAATCAGCGGTGTCCACCTTGGAGAAGGGGGTGGGTGTGTGGAATCCGGCTTCCCAACGTCTCTCTGACGAGCCCCACTTCGCCAGACACGTACAAACCAGGTTTCCACCACTTGACAGCAGTGACAGTGAGAGCAACTGTGACAGAACATTCGACAACCCTGTAAGTGCAGCACGGCCTTGGGAAACGGACGTGATGCATCGTGGCCAAAACGCCTCTGCCTGTTTCTGCACAGGCTCCCCATCATTTTTTGAGGTTTGACCTTCTATTTACTGTGGATGAAAAATACTGCGGCCACATCAGCAAACAAGGATGCTGTGCTATCACGTCATCAGCCGCTGCCACTGCTCCCGACAGCGAGCGGAGGGAACTCAGCACGCAGACCAGCAGGCAGCCGGGCTCCGCAGCGCCCCCAGCGGTGCCCCCTGAGGGGGCTCAGGATGGGGAAGAACAGGGCGCTGGCCCTGGACGGCCAGGTGCACGTCAAAGGAGTGATTTCAGGGGCCCAGACCTTTGCGCCTTCCCAGGCCTAGAGAAGCACTAAATCCCTTAACTTGAAATACCTGGTTTTCTATAATTAACGGTCATCTTTTGATGTTCCAACTACCTGGCCTTCGTTGCAAAAAAAAAACGCCTACATCTCCTGGCTCCTCCCTTGCCGCTCTGGAACAGACTCTTAGAGCCATCCGAGAGGCTGTGTCCCGGCTCCCGTCCTCAGGAAGTCACCGAATAAAACAAAACTCTCAACTTCCAGGTTGTGCATTTATTTCAGTCAATATTGTCAGAAAGCACAACTCCCAGAGTGAAGACCATCTGCAACTGATTATGAAAACGGTGATAATTTTATTAATGCACAAGACCAGGTCAGTCACCTGTGATGGAAAATCCACGCCAGCTACACTGAGCGGCTTTCCTTCCTTAAACTAAAGCTGCTTTTCACTGCATAAGAGAAGATCTATTCTGACAGGCACCGCATACAAAGTCCACGGGGAAGTGGCACCCGCCAGCGACTGAGCACAAGCAGTTGCCATGTCTGCGAGGATGGACCTCGGGGGCATTTACCTGAGCGACGAGGCGGAGTCGGCTCGCAGCCAGGGGCCCAGGTCTCTGCAGGGGCTTCTGGTCCCCGCACTGCACGTGCACCTGGGTGGTCTCGCCGCCACTTTTCTTGATCATTTCTCGGTACTGTTGTGCAAGAAAAAAAGAAGATGATTCAGAGTCTTAAATCCTCGGAAGTGAAACAGGTGCTTTTTCTCTTGGAGGAGAACACTTACTGACTGTCCACTGGGCCCCAGTCTGCACATCAGGGGCTGCTAACCAGGCTGCAGGCAACTTCAGACCCACCCTGCGGGGGCTGTGTGGGCACCAGGGTCCCAGGCGGGGTCTGAGGGCACGAGAAGGGCCGGCGCACAGGGAACAGCAATGGACAGGCCCAGAGGGTGGGGGGACCAGCAGCTGGACAGAAGCCTAGAGGCTCCCACCGGCTTTGGTGAGAGGGGTGAGACACGGGGGTTTAAAGACAGGACTGAGGCCGAGGGAGACACTCAGTGCAGGTCCATGTGCAGAGATCCCCCTGGGTGCTTCAGGGGGAGGATAGGTGTGGAGGGACAGACCTCACAGCGAGGCGGGAAGCCCCATAAAAAGACAGGGAGGACCCCCAGGCAGGGCCACTACTCTCCTGCCAGCACCATCCAGTTCCCTGGCCCAGAGGCTCTATCTCAATTTTTGCCTTTGAACCGGCTTACTTACCCCTAAAATTCTATTGGTTCCCTGAGCTCACTTCTGATTGGTTATTTCCTTTACTCCTGATTGGTCCATTTGTAGTACTTCATTTGCATGGAGCTCACGCCTGATTGGTCCAATTTCCTCACTCCTGATTGGTCCATTTCCCTCACTCCTGATTGGTCCATTTCCCTCACTCCTGATTGGTTATTTCTCTCCCGCCTGATTGGTCCATTTCTACAAAGCTTGTTCCTAATTAGTCAACTTTCGTTACGTATCATTTGTATATCATGTTGCAAAGTGTAAACTGGCAGCCTCTAAAAGCCTGTGTAAAGCTACAGACGGGGCCCAGAGCTTGGAGCGTTAATTCCTCTGGGCCTGCTGGCGTAATAAACCTGAGTTCTCCAACTCTCCGAGTGCTGGTTGGTCTCTCGCCCAGATCCAGGTTGCTGTCACAACTGAGCTGTAACACCGGGCTGTAACACATATTTCCGCAACAGCAGGAAGCCAGGGGGTGGTCTGGACGTCAGACCGTCACAGCAGGGACAGATGGATGGGTCCACACACACTCAGATGACCCTGACAGGACAGGACCGTGGGGGGATGAGACAGGCCCCTTACAGCTCCTGGGAGGGACACTGGCCCGAGCTGCGGCCATGGAGGGGCCAGGAGGTGCCCCTGTCCTGTGGCAAAATTAACAAGCTGGGATTTCTGCTTTGTTTGGCTTTGTTTCCCACGGAGTTTATTTAGGTGTCTGTGTTGTCACACTGTTCTTAAAAGCCAGCAACCACCGCCAAGAGTTTCTCCCTCTGATCGACATCCCACGCCTCCACCCAGTGAAAACACAGGTCAAACCAACAACGGCTGGGGGTCAGAGTGGGAACACGTCACGCAGACACAGAGGATCCGCTTCTAGCGGCTCGAGGGGCCGAGCTAACCACGTCGGACCTCGAGTGGGAGCAGGAGATGTGGGCTACAGAGACGAAGATGCTCTGTCTCTTACTTATTGAAAAAGACTGCAGGGGACTCAGTACAAGTGCCCCACAATTCACAGGCTTTATTGGACGTGGCATGTCTGATGGCCTTAAACGTAAAAAGTTTTTTCACCTAAATGATGCTTAGCAAGACAGCTGGTGTTCCCCAAACTGACAGCACATCACAAACAGATCTAAGCGGCGCTGCTCTGCGCGCTGACCCTGCAGGCGGCCTGCGGCCCCCACAGCACTGGGCTGGACAGCCACTCCAGCAGTTCGGCAGCCACAGTCCCAAGGGACACCTGCGGTGACCCGAGCAGCACAGGGGGCCTGTGTCCAGGACGCCGGCCTCACCAGCTCTGTGAAGTGCAGTGGAGACAAAGAGGGGTCAGCTTATGGAAGCTCAGGCTTAGACGGGCCGGTGTTTGAGACAGGCCACCTTACACAGGTGCCGGGATGTGCCAGTAAATCACCAGCTTAAAAATGAGCCAAGAAACCCATATTCCCTTAATTTAAGAGGCGGTACAGATAGCCCTACAGTAATCAGCAAATTTAGTGCAACTGTTTTCAATGAACCTGAAGGGGAGTCAAGAGTCTGCAGACGGCTCCCACTGAGGGGCTCAGACCCCACAGAGGTGGAATTTAAGGATGACACTCCAGCATCGGTTATTTAATGGGGGCATGTGTGTCCCTAATCCGCTGTGATCAAGTACCACACACAGGGGGTAAAACAGCAGAAATGTTCTTTCTCCCTCCTGGAGGCCAGGCTTCCAGAATCATCGAGGTGTGGGCGGAGTTGCATGCCCCTGAGGCTGAGGGGCTCCTTCCCACCTCTTGCGGCCTGTGTCGGCGTCTCCCGATGTCTCCCTGCTTTCCTTCACATCACTGCCACCTCCCTCTTATCAGGACACTTGGGGGCATTGAGGGGCCCCCAATAGCCCAGCATCACCTCCCACCTTAAGTTCCACCATGCCTGCCGAGACCCTCTCCCCAGACAAGGTCACATCCACAGGGTCCAGAACTGGAACCTGGCATCTTTGGGGCCACTTTTCGGCTCACCAAAGGCAGCAACGGCGAATCACACAGGAGTAAGACAAGTCAGCCTCCACCTAACATTCTCCACTTGTTCTCCACTGTTCCTTCCTTCCCACCGTGAGGAGCACGCCTGCGGGAGACGTGGGGCAGAGGTGTCTGAGGGCCCCCTTCTCTGTCTTGGCGAGGCAGGCAGATGGCGTGGGCAGGACTGCTCAGAGGCTTGTCTCTCGGGCGAAGGACGAGGCCGCAGTGACCTCAGCGCAGGCTGCAGTGGAAGTGCCCCGCACGCCGACGCCTGCACTGGGATGGAGTGAGCCCGGACCTAGGTCATCCCCAGGACAGCCGGCCAGACGGCGCCGGCACCTCACTAAATTGTCACTAGTGCCTCTGGGCAGATGAGCAACAGCCAGGAGCCAAGCCCGGCTCGAGTAAGAAGACACATGAAACATCAGCGAAAGCGTCCCCACTGGACGGAAAACAGCAGGAGCATGAGCCCCCACCCCTCCCCGGCAGAGGCAGACTGGGCTCTGCAGCACGGCGGCCGGCCCCGGCCCAGCTCAGCCCCAAGACGGCTGAGCGCCTTACCTGCGCCAGCCTCAGGTGGAGAACAGCATTTTCTGTTTCTGCTTCCACTAGTCTCTCTTCTTTCGCCTGCAACCAAGGGTCCAGACAGAAACGATCATCAGTGATACTGCCCAGCGGTCCCTTCCTTCCTCGGAACCAACACCGCATCCCCGGGTGCAAAGATGCACCCACTGCAGAACGACAGAGGTGACGGGCTGGAGGGGCCCCGGACCCTGACAGGCACCCACTCATGCCGTAGCTGCGACCCACCCCCACCCCAGGCGTGGGCCCCAGGCCAGCAGCCTCTGGGAATTTCAGAAACACAGAATCTCGGAACTTCCCAACCAGTATGTTCTCTGGGTGACCTCTGTGCAGGCTCCAAACTCTACCATTTCTTTCCTTTCATTCACATATTCAAAACACATGTTAGAAATCTATTCGTGCCAGGTGCTTTTTCAGGTGCTGGGGACAGAGCCGTGTACAAAGCAGGCCTGGAGGCCGCATCCCAGTGGAGAAGCAAATGAGCAAGGGGAGGGGGCAAATAACCACGGCGGCTCCGCCAGAATCAAAACAGAGTGATGTGAACCCAGGACCCATGGCTCCCCAAGGCGGGAGGCAAGGGGGAGCCTCTGCAAAGGCCCTGTGGCAGGAACGAGCTTAGCAACTCAAGGAGCAGAGAGAAGGCCAGGCAGCCTGGGGCTCAGGATGGGGCTTTCCTAAGCCAGGGAAGCAGCTGTGAATGGTGGGGAAGGCACGGCAGGGTTTTCAGCAGAGGAGCTGAAGTACTGGCCACGTACCATTACTGCAGAGGATGCACCAGATTCCAGGAATGCGGGCTCAGGTGTGGTCCTTTGTGCTGGGTAGTCGTCCTCCCCCCAGTCTGCTGACAGGTGGCTCACAGAGAACTGTGCTCATTTTAGGACAACAATCTCTTTGTGATTGGTTAGAAAACCAGAAACCTGGGAGTCGGCTAGACTTCTCTTACCACGTTCAGTCAGTCTTACCTCTTGAAAAATAATCCCTCGAAGCAACCAAGTGCCTGGATAAAGAAGTTGTGGTAAACACACACACACACACACACACTGGAACACTACTCAGCCAAAGAAAGAATGAACTAATGCCATTCGCAGCAACATGGACGGACCTAGAGAACGTCATTCTAAGTGAAGCAAGTCAGAAAGTGAAAGAAAAACACCATATGATGTCACTTATATCTGGAATATAAAAAAGTGAATCAGAGCATCATTTCCGTGTACAAGCATTGCCCTGCTCTGGTTAAATTTCTTCCAAAGTAATCTGTTTTCTCTGGTGATGCTGCCTGTGCCATGGAACAGAAGAGCAGTTATTTCTGCATGCAGGCCGCGCGCCCCCAAGCCCCACTGAGCTCACTCAGTCGTGCTAATAGATGGTTTTTAGCGTGGTTTTGTTTTTTGTGTTTTCGGTGGAGTCCTTAGGATTTTCTGCACGTCAGATGCTGTCATCTGCAAACAGAAGTAGTCTTACTTCTCCTTCTCTGACATAGATGCCTCCCCCGTCATCCTGCCTAACCGCCCTCCGTGGCACCACCGGACGACGGCGCACGGAAGCGGCGGGAACGAGCCTGCTGCCTGCTCCGCTCAGCAGCAGGTGTGACGTCAGCTGAGTGGTTTCCACCGCCGCCTCTCGTCGGGCTGAGTGCTTTTGTCATGAAGGGGAGTCGAAGGCTGTCAAACGCTTTTTCTGGGTCTGCAGAAATGATCCCGGGGGTTCTGTCCTTTACAGGTCCGGTCTATTACATTCACCGATTTACTAGGCCAACTTTGCATTTCTGTGTTTTGGGGATACATCCCACTTGGTCATGATGTATAATCCTTTACACATATATTGCTGGATTCAGTTTGCTCATAGTTTTTAAAGTTTTTGCATCTATATTCCTAAGAGATGTCGCTCTATGTATTTCTTGGGATGTTTTTGTGGTTTTGGTGTCGGGGTGATACTGGCCTCAGGGAATGGGATGTGTTCCCTCCTTGTCTGTCTTCTGGACGTTTGTGAAGTTAATTCTTCTTTAAATGTTTGGTGGAATTCACCAGTGAAGCCGTCTAGGCCTGGGCTTTACGTTGTGAGGGACTTTTTATTATTAATTTAATCTCTTATTCCAGTTTTGTTCACATTTTCTAGTTCTTCTGGAATCAGCTTTGGACGTTTGTTTTTAAGGCATTTGACCACTTCCTGCAGGGCACCTAGCTCCTGAGCAATGCTGTTCGCAGCATGTCCTTCTAAGCCCTTTTGCTCCTGTCAGCTCGGCAGCCTGCCCGCTCCTATTCTTCACGGTGCTCACCCGAGTCTTCTCTCTCATCAGTCAGTCAGGCTACAGGTCTATCAACTCTGTTGATCTTTCCAAAGAGCCGACTTCTGGTTTTGTCGATTTTCTGTCTTCCTAGTCTCAGCTTCATCCGTTTCTACTTGAATCTTCGCTGTTTCCAGCCCTCTGCTGGCTTCGGTTCTCACTGTCTTGGCTTCACCCAGTGTCTTGAGGTGGAAGGTCAGCTTGTTGACATGAGATCTCTCCACTTTTTAAACAGAGGTGTTCACATCTGTAAAGCACCTTAAGCACTGCTTTGGCTGAATCCCCCAAATTTAGGTATGTGGAATCTTAATTTTCACTCATCTCAAAATATCGCCTAACCTCCTTTTTTATCTCCTCTTTAATCTGTTGGTTATTTAGAAGTGCCTTGTTCAATTTCATGTATTTGTGAACTCATTACATTTCTTTGTCATTAATTCCTACCTTCCTTTCATTGCAACAAGAGAACATGTTATGTGATTCCTGTCCTTTTCAACTCACTCAGGCCTGTTTCGGGGCCCATCACGTGGCCCAGCTCGGAGGGGCTCACTGTGCACTGGAGAGGAACGCGCCCCGCTGCTGGGCGGGTGGCTTCCCAGGGACGCCTGTGAGGTCCGGTCAGCTCGGCTGCTGTTCAAGCCTGTTTCACTGTTGGTCTGCTGCCCAACCTGCCCGTTACTGAAAGTGGAGTGTTGACGTCTTCAACTGCTATGTTTGAATTGTCCATTTCTCCCTTCAATTGTGTTGCTTCTGCTGTACCGATCCTAGAGCTTTGTCGTTAGATGCATACGTTTATAATTCGTGTCTTCCCTTCTGTCATTCTAAAATGTCCCTCTTTTCCTCCAGTAACTTTTTTTTGTGGTCTTAAAGTCTATTTGGTTTGATATCAGTTTCCTTGTGTTTGATGGTGATGTAACGCATCTTTTCCCACCCCTTCACTTTCAACCAACTTCTGTCCATGAACCTCCAACGTGTCTCCTGCAGGCAGCTCGCAGCTGGGTCTTGCTTTTCATGCACTAAAATGTCCCTCTTTTCCTCCAGTAACTTTTTTTTGGTCTTAAAGTCTATTTGGTTTGATATCAGTTTCCTTGTGTTTGATGGTGATGTAACGCATCTTTTCCCACCCCTTCACTTTCAGCCAACTTCTGTCCTTGAATCTCCAACGTGTCTCCTGCGGGCAGCTCGCAGTTGGGTCTTGCTTTTCATGCAGCCTAACAGTGTCTGCCTTTTGAATGAATTCTTAATCCACACACTCTAACATCACTGACAGGGATTTATGCCTGACATTTAACTTCTTTTCCCTATGTGTTTTGTGCCATTTTTGTTTCTCTTTTACTGCTTTCTTTCACATCAAGTGTGTATTTTCTGATGTAACATTTTAATTCCTTTGATAATCTTTTTCACTGTTTTTTGAGTCATTTTCTTAGTGGTTGCTCTAGGGCTGACCCTATAATCTGAACCTGGAAGAATCTACTTCACATTTATAGACTTATTCTGGTGGGGTGCAGAAACACTATCCCTGCACAGCTGCATGCTCCTTTCCCCTTCACTGCTGTTACACACATTACATCAATATATATATATGTTAATGAATGTAGTGATACATTGTTCTATTTATTACTTTTCATAGTTCCACGTTCATTAAAGAAGCAGCAGAAACAAAGGACAGCCAGTATTTATTTAAAGGATTTGCTTTTTTTCCCCTTTTCTTCACCATTTCTGGTTCTCTTCATTTGTTCCTGTGGATTTAATTAGCCTCTGGTGACATTTTCTTACCTCAATAAAATTTTACTCCCATCCACCACCTTTATGCTATTTTTGTCTAATTATTACATTTTTACATGTTATAGGTCCAACAATACAATTATACACATATTGCTTTATACGACTGCTTTGTAAATCAATCAAAAGAAGAAGGAAGAAAAAGACATGTAATTATATAATTATCTTCATTGGCGTTCTTTGTGAATTTGAGTTTCCATGCAGGTCACTTGCTTTCAGCCCAAGGAACCTCCATTAGTGTCTCTTATAAGGTAGGCCTGTTAGCAATATACTTTCTCAGATTTGTTTATCTGGGGCTGCTTTTATTTTGTCTTCATTTTTGAAAGAGTTTTGCTGGCTGTAAGATTCTTGGTTGACAGCCTTTCTCTTCTTTCTGCACTTTGAAGGTCACCCTGCTGCCCTTGACCTCCATTGTGCTGATGAGACGTCAGACAGCACCGTTTAGGGTTGACGTGACAACTGCTCCTCTTTCAAGGTTTTACATGTGTGGGTGTAGGTATGTTTGTATTTACCCTACTTGGAGGTCATTAAGCCTTTTTTAAAATAATATATTGCAAACTTCAGCAAATTTGGAGCATTCCTGAGCAACTACCTCTTTGAATATTTTTTCTGCTCCTGTCTCTCCTCTCCTTCTGGTACTCCCATTACATATATGCTGGTTCACTTAAAGGTTTCACATCTTTTTCTGAGGTTACTTTGTTTTCCTTCCTTCCACTTTTCTCTCTGTTCTTAGGATTGCATAATTTCTACCATCCTACCTTAAGTTTGCGGATTTTTTTTTTTGTCCATTGAAATTCACTCTTTTTTTTCTAACTGAAGTATAGTCAGTTTTCAATGCTGTGTCAATTTCTGGTGTACAGCATAATAGTTCAGTCATACATGTGCAGACGTGTATTTGTTTTTATATTCTTTTTCATTATCAGTTACTACAAGATATTGAATATAGTTCCCTGTGTTATACAGTAGGAACTTGCTGTTTATTTTATA